ATTTACATTACTATGAAATCCAATACACAAAAAGTGTTTTCCTCTGTGTGTGTGTAACAACAGCTTAAAAACCACATACTAACTATATTAAAGAAGACAGTTCACATCAAGTAAAGAAAAAAATTGTGATTCTCATATGTAAAGTCTGTGTTAGTTATAGTAGTAAGTATAGCTGCTTTTCCTTCCAAATATTAAACAAGTGTGTATATAATGTACAAGATGATCAAACAATTAATAATCAAAGAAATACAAATTTAACAAAAAGTTATGTATTATCAAATTAGCAAAAAAATTTTAGTATTTTTTTCTTTTTAATTAAGTTTATAAGCATGTGTTTGTAAACATATGAGGGCAGAGGTCTGCAGAGCCCAGGAAAAGGGAATTAGATACCCTGAACTGCAGATGGATAGGAACTGCATGGTTGGGTCCTGGGAACAGAACTCAAAGCTTCAACAAGAGCAGTCCTCATTCTTAACCACTGTGCCATCTCTCCAGCCCCAAATTGGCAAAGATTTAAAACTAAAAACACTGACTATTTAAAAGAACACAATGGTTGCCAATTTCTCCTGGAAGAATGAAAACTGCTATATAGTCTTTCTAAAAGGTCATTTGCCAACCAAATGTATCACTTAACAACCAAGATACAGATCAGCACCCAAAAATGATTGCACAGAACTCTGAACAATTCCTTAATTGCAACATTATTAATTATAACCAAAATTTAGAAACAGTTTAACCCATAAAATTAAGGGGATACTTCAAGTGAACAGCAACAAAGTTACAACCAAGAGCTTTTTAACACAATAGGGGATGGCAGCCCAGCCAAGGTGGGCAACTACCACCTATAATCCCAGCACTGGTGATACAAAGGCAGGGGGATCTCTGTGATTTCCAGACTAGGAAAAAAAAGCAGTGGAGGACCCAGTGAGATGGCGTAGCAGGTAAGGGTCCTTTCCAACAAGCCTGACAACCTGAGTTCAATCCTTGGGAGCCACATAACAGAAGGAAAGGATCAACTCTGTCAACTTCTCACTCCTACACCATGGCACTTGATTGTATATTCGTGTACAAAGACATTAAATTAATTAAATAAATTATTTTGTTTGTTTTTCAAGACAGGGTTTCTCTGTGTAGCATTGACTTGTCTTGGATTTCGCTCTGTAGACCAGACTGGCCTTAAACTCAGAGATTCACCTGCCTCTGACTCCCAAGTGTTGGATTAAGGGCGTGCGCCACCACCGCTCAGCATTAAATTAATATTTTTAAGATATAATAGAGGGAGGTTGGACATGGTAGTGCATACCTCTGATCCAGCACTCAGGAGGTAGAGGTAGGCAGATCTCTGTGAGTCTGAGACCAGTCTGGTATACACAGTGACTTCTAGCTTCACTGAGACAGAATGAAAGGCATGAAGGGCAGGAATACAGTAACAGCTATACTCACCTCTACAGAGTAAGACATTTCTTCATTACAGTTGTCATTGATCTTCTCAAAGAGTTCTTCACACAACTAGGAAAGCAGAAGGAAAGGGTCCATGAACAGCCCAAATCAGAGAAGTACTACATTCATTACAGCGATAATAAGATATTTCAACTTTTTTTTCTTTTTTAATGTGTAGCCCAGGCTGGCCTTGAACTCGTGATCCTCCTGCTTGCGCCTCCTTCAGCAAATCCTACCAGAGTGCTCCACCACAACCGGCAATATTTTATCTCTTTATCTCTCCAAATGTGCATGTCATAAGCCAAACATAATTAGTATTTTAAATAAAAATTTTATACTCTTATGCTCTTAATTGTTATTATCCTTCAACAATGAACACTGATATTGTTTCATTAGGAAGAAAACCCCATTTATCCAAATTTGATTCTTCATACTATACTCAAGTAACTAGTAATACATCACTATAACAATAAAACTGACTAAAAATGAGCAAAAAATTTACAATCAAGGACTTATCTGCCATGGCCTGCAAGTGACAGTGCATACCTTCAATGCCAGTACTTTGGAGGCAAAAGTAAGGAGACTCTCTGTGAGTTCCAGGCCAGCCTTGTCTACATAGTGAGTTCTAGGACAGCCAGGGCTATGTAGTGAAACTGAGTCAAAAGGCACACAAGCAAGCAAAGACTTAACAGCAACATTATTCATCATAACCAAAACTTACAGTCAAAAGAGGGTATGGGGCTGTAGCTCAGCTGGTAAAGTACTTGCCTAGGTTGCTCAAAGCCCTGGGCTGGATCCCCGTGACCCCATAAACCAGGCATGATAGCACATTAAATTAAAAAAAAAATTAAAAAACAAATTACAAAAACAAAGAGGTAGAATGTAGTTAGCAGCAGAGTACTTCCTTAGAACACTGGCCTAGGTTCTATCCTTAGGACCACAAAATAGAAAAAATAAAAATACATTAAAATACATTATTTTTTTTTGTGGGGGTGGTGGTTTTGAGACACGGTTTCTCCATTATAGTTTTGGTGCCTGGCCTGGATCTCAAACTCACAGAGATCCGCCTCTGCCTCCTGAGTGCTAGGATTAAAGACGTGTGCTACCACTGCCCGGCCAAAAATACATTCTTTAGAGATAATCTATATAGGAACTTTTCCTTTTTTTCTTTTATTATCTTGGTTTTTTTAAGACAGGGTTTCTCTGTGTAGCCCTGGCTGCTCTAGAACGCTCTCTGTAGACCAGTTGGCCTCAAACTCAAGATATTCTCCTGCCTCTACCTACAGAGTGCTGAGATTAAAGGTGTGTGCCATCGCGGCCCCACTGTATAGGAACTTTTAATAAAGTCAGATTAACATTTACTGAGTGTTCCAGAATTTAGAAAAAAAAAACTGTTAACACTAAAAGATAGGATAATATGGCAGTTTAGAAACAGCAATGTTTTTAAGAAAAACATTAACTTTCCTATCTTAAAAATATGCCAATCTTTTTCTCTCAATAGTAAGCACCTTTGAGAGAAATAGACAGGCTGTCTACCTTTGTGCCTTACATATAACAGTCTCTGACTACATTTTTAGCAAATAAAAAGCCATTTGAGACTGAAAGTACCGATGGGCACAGATGCCGACATTTGACTGCTTTACCTGTGGAATGATGCCAGCTTGGCTCTCCTCTTGTTTCCCCATCATCGTGTAGGATTTCCCAGCACCAGTCTGCCCATAGGCAAAAATACAAACATTATACCCTTCAAAGGCGTGTAAGAGCATTTCCTTCCCAATGTCATTGTATACACGATTCTGCGATGCGAAACAGGGATCTTCAGGCTGTAAAGATTACAAAGGAAAGTTATGGCATTTTACTAATAGTCTTTCCTACATTAATTTGACTGCTTCCACATTAAAAAATGTTTGGAATCAGAAAAGTCATTTAAACTATACTACACATTTTTTTTTTTGTCGTTATTTTTGTTTTTTCCAGACAAGGTTTCTCTGTGGAGTTTTGGAGCCTGTCCTGGATCATCTCACTCTGTAGACCAGGCTGGCCTTAAACTCACAGAGATCCAAGTGGCTCTGCCTCCTCAGTGCTGGGATTAATAGTAGCCAGGTGTGCCACCGCCACCTGGCTACTATTCATTTTTTAAAGAACTTTCTACATACCTTTTTTTTTTTTTCCAATTTCTCTCTCTCTCTCTCTCTCTCTCTCTCTCTCTCTCTCTCTCTTTCTCTTTCACTCACTCACTCACTCACTCACTCACTCACTCACTCACTCACGTTGAGAGGCACTCTAGAAGTTGGAGCTCCAAGATTTTCTTAGGTAGAAAATGGGAATAACAGACCAAAGGTCAGATGTAAAGACAACACTACTTCTTTGAACTCATTCTACACAGTGTGGCTGCTTACAAAAAATAACAACTTTAATGAAGAACACTCCCTCAACCCTTTCCTTGATGATTAGGTTTTGCGGAGAGTCTGGAACCTCCTTCCTCACAAAACAGGAAATCATGAAAGGTCTAAGGAACAGGAAGCACAAACGGGAGCAGTCGACAAGGTTTGGTTCACACTGACTAAAGTGTCAGGGAAAACCAAACACTTGATCAAAGTAAGTATTTTGTCCTCCAGGGAGTAGTCTTCTCTATCAAAAAATGAACTCATGGCTGGGTGTAATAACACAATTTGTAATTTCATCACTGAGGGAGAGGCAGGAAGATCAGGAGTTCAAGGTCAGCTTCAGCTATACACAGTAAGGCCAAGTGAGACTCTGTCTCATTTGGGGTGTTTGGTTTTAGTTGTTTTTTGAAGCAGAGTTTCACTATACAGCTCTGGCTGGCCTGGAACTCAAAGAGATCCATCTGCCTCTGTCACTTGGCCGTTGGGACTAAAGGTGTGTACCACCACACCAGGACTTTGGGGAAAAAAACTCTTTAAAAATTAAAATTAAAATAAATTAAGAGGCTGGGGATATGACTCAGTGGGTAAAGTGCTTCTGTGCAAACATGAAGGCCTAAGTTTAGAACCCCAGTGCCAACAAAAAAGCTGCCCATGGCAGCAGGCACCTTTAACCCTAGTGCTAAGAAGTAGTTGAGGATCCTAGGGCTCACTGACCAGACAGTCTAGCCAGGTGGTGAGCTACAGGTTCAGAGAAACACTGTCTCAATATGGCAGAAAATGATGGAGAACACTAGATATCAACAACCTCCAGCCCCCACACATAATACATGAATGAGCAAATAAATAACTTTTTCAAAATTAACTTATGAACTGGGAGTTCATTGGCCAAGTGTTATAGTCCATGCATGTAATTCCAGTTCTTGAGAGGTTAAATCAGGAATACTGGCCCAAGTTTGAAGCTAGCCTAGGATACACAGTGAGTTCAATGCCAATATGGGCAATGAGAATCTGTCTCAAAAAACAAACAACAACAACAAAAAAACTAACACATCTTCCTCAAACACACACACAGAACGCATCCTTGACCAAACTCAGAAAATTACAACTGGATTTTGGGACAACCTAGGATGAAAGAAAGACAAGAAAGGCAAGGGAGGCAGCAGACTCACCGAGGTGTGAGACCAGTAAGAGTAGTCGAAGCTGAAGGACTTTGGTGCTTCCTTTGGGTTCTTTGGGTTAATAATACCTAGAGAACAAAAACATTAAATTGTGTTAAGTCCTTCAATTACAAGTTCATCAGCTCAATATATTATACTTTACGTTCAAATCATCCCAACAGCACATTTATACTATTGAGTCTTAACAGGACAATCAAAAACCAAAAGTATCACTTTTGAAGAGGTAATTTATACTGGAACACAGACACACACACAGACACACAGACACACAGACACACACACACAGACACACACACACAACCAGACCACACACTCATTTGGGTGTTACCACTATTCAGAATAGAGTCTAATATGTAACAGGTTCTCAGTAAATCTTCTAGAACTGAATGTTTGTCCTTTTTAGGTAAGTTAGCATCTAAAACTTGGAAATGGGCTGTTTCTATTTCAAAGATCTCATAAGGTTTGAAACACTTCAACACATTAGAAATAAAAATTAGAAAGGTATTATTTATATTAATCCAACCCAATATGAAATAAATTCTTTATGAAATGCTTGTTATCTACTTCAAAAAAGCATTTGGTAATAAGGTACTCATTGCAAAGTTTGTGTTTTCTGAACTCCACAGTAGACAATATGTAATCTACTACATGTATATATGTGCATAGATGTTTATGCAGAACCACAGAGTACTAATGAATCAAATCTCACTACACATATTAAGTGGTTTCTCATGTGACTAATACCACCACACCACACTGCAGCAACTAACTGAATACTGAAGATTAATCCTTCCTTTTTCATACATGCAAAATTTTATCCTCATATTTCATATGAGACAGACTCTCCCAAACATGTAGTCATGAAATCTCAAAAGACTGGATATCTCAACCAAATCATTTCGCTGAGGCAAGGCTATATCTCAAACTGTCAGTGAAAACAGGATTAAAAAGTAAACCTGTCCTCGGCAGCTGGTGTGCAGGACACAAACAGCAACCGTTGCTATGGTGCTTAGTTCTCCCTCTGGCTGGATTCCTCTGGGTACAGCCACATATTTACTTATGTGCCAAACTCAAATGCTGACAGAGTATTAATTAGGCTCACATTACACATAATCATGTGACAAGAAAACTTGGTTCTAGAAAGAACATCTCCCTACAAATAAATGGTAATTTAATCAAAGTCTTAACAAAAGAGTAAACAGACCAGCCAGCATTTGCCACATCGTTACTCCAACCCATAAGTATTTTGTATTTAGTAACTTTTTTTTAATCTTCCTAACCACTCAATGAGGCAAATGTTTTTTCATCCTCATTTTATAAAGAAACAAAAGAAAAGTTGAATATTCCTCAGGCCACAGAGCTAGCTAGTGTCAGATACAGCATCTGAATTTGCAGAGCTGCCACAATTAGCCAAGAAATCATTGTGTAAATGCTTATTCTCCACATACAATGATTACCAAGGTGAAAGAGAAGGCATTTTATATATTTATATACAGCTATATGCATAGAGCTATCCCTTAAAATTAAGCCACAGGCATTGTTTAAAACTCTCTTTATTCATTTAAAGTTTCCTTGTTTTAACAATAAGAATTAGACCACAAACTATACCACGAAAAAAAAATTTAAGTCCTACTTTATGAGTCAGAGCTAAAAACTACTAAGAACTATGAGGTGGTGGGCATGCTCCTGAAGTCAATCTATTTTGTTGTTGTTGTTGTTTTCGAGACAGGGTTTCTCTGTGTAGTTTTGGTGCCTGTCCTGGATCTCACTCTGTAGACCAGGCTCTGCCTCCTGAGTGTTGGGATTAAAGGTGTGCACCACTACTGCCCAGCTCCTGAAGTCAATCTTTACCACTCCAAAGCATGGTTAAAATAAACACTTCTAACAGCTAGAAAATTGGCTGTTATCAAACACTTAAGCCATATTTCATTCAGTTACCAGTTGTCAAGAACATGACAAAGTACAAATTCTCAGATTCTATCCCTTGATTTGTCATTTTCCCAAGGGGAAAACAAAACAAAACAAAAATCTACATCAGAGTATAGTAAGTTCACATAAAATCTTTTTCTTCCCCCTCAAGCAAGCTTTTCTCTCTGATCTTTGAAGCCTCTGATAGGAATATGGCCAGCCTGGGTTTCTTGTCTATCTGTTTGCACGCTGCTGGGATTGAAACCAGAGCTTTGCACATGCTAAGCCAGTATGCTACCATTTGCTACATTCCCATCCACCTCCTGTTTCTTTAAATAACTGCCTATATCAACAATAAACAGGCCAGGCAATGGTAGTGCATGCCTTTAATTCCAGCACTTGGGAGGCAGAGGCAGG